CACGATTGCTCGACATGGTCTACAACTGGAAGGGCGACTTTCAGGTATAGATTTATAAATTATAATATATGTATAGTTTAAAATATTATTGACTTTAATTCTAATTATTTTAAATTAGGTGGATGGTTACGAGCGTGGGAAATCCGATTGCCTCACAACCACGGTGTGGGATGGCCTCATCGGCTATTGGGGGTTGCCGGACTCGGTCAGAACCTCCCAGACAAACTCCGAGAACCGCATGACCACAGACGAGTATGACAACACGAAGATGCTTCACACCACGGGCCGAAAACCTCACCGGGGAGTTCGTCTAGACATGGTAAGATGATTTTTAATTACTATTTAATTTTTACTCTATTTGAATATTCCAAATTAATATTTAATTTAAAAAAAAAATTTAGGCTAAAGAGACAGAAGTTCTTCCATCTCTGAAAGACCTTTACGAGCGGACCCACCGGAAAAAGGGTGGGCAGTTTGTAGATCTTGCTTCCGAGCGGATCTACAACGAGGTTGTTGCCCGAGTTGACGAACGCCAGACCCAGCTGACTCAGCAGACTGGGATCCAGTCGTATTATCCACTCATGAAGTGGATAAGATTTACGAGGAGGTAAATAATTTGTTTTAATATTAATTTTTATTATTTATTTAAATTTATCCTTACGTTATTAATATTTTTATTTACAGGTCGTCCCTAGGAAAAAGGACCGTATTGTCGGGATTGGCTCGGTTAACGATGTCCCCGCAGTGACATCGTCTTATGTTCAGCAACAGGACGATGCCAATGCTCAGCTGCGACGAAGTTGTGGGCGACGCAGTCTCATGTGAGTACGCTCACGGAGATCGTCGACATTATTGCGGTTGGAAACCCGCAAGTGGCGAAGATGTTGCTTTTTTAATTTTTTTAATATATATAACTTTTAATTTATAAATAATTTTTTTTAAATAGAAAACAATTATTTCGAAGCAAAATCCTCGTAAAGCTTTCGAAGTAAAGTCCTCGTAAATTTTTCTAGTAAGTTTCTCGTAAAGATTGTATTACGAACTTACGAGGAATTAATTTACTATGACATTACGAGGAAATACTACGAGGACCTTACGAGGAAAACTTATCCACGCGTTTCCGAGGAAATGTTTCCTCGTAAATTAGCTAGGAACTTACGAGGAAATAATGCTTTACGATGAACGTGTTTCGACGAAACGCGTTTCCTCGTAAGTTCCTAGTAAATGGTCATCTACTAGGAAATAACGAGGAAAACTCGTCCTAGTAAAAGACGAGTTTTCTTGTAGTGATCCATAATATATATAATTTTGATGAACGCTTTTATAAATAGTAGGATTTGATCTAACAGTTTTTAATAATGTATATCAATCATACTCAACATGCATGCTGCATGCATGTCCTTTCAAAACATTTGGCACAGCTGATATTATTTCCTTAAAGAAATTGTTGGTGGTCGTATAAGTAGTGAGAAAGCACTACGAATTATCAAAACAGAGACCAACTGAAATTATTTTTTATAATTAAATTTCAATTTTGTTTCAAATTTATAAAAATCAACTAATAGTTTTAGAAAACCCTTGCATTTAAACAAGTCCAGNCCTTTCAAAACATTTGGCACAGCTGATATTATTTCCTTAAAGAAATTGTTGGTGGTCGTATAAGTAGTGAGAAAGCACTACGAATTATCAAAACAGAGACCAACTGAAATTATTTTTTATAATTAAATTTCAATTTTGTTTCAAATTTATAAAAATCAACTAATAGTTTTAGAAAACCCTTGCATTTAAACAAGTCCAGAAACTTAAAGATCTTTTTATCAGCCCATTTCTTTTTAATCTACGATTTCATAAACCAATTGAATATATTGACAACATAAAGAATTATTATAATTAGTCCATCCATATTCCATACAGAAGGAATACTTTAGTTACAAAAATACAGCATGAATATTTGCAAAATGCATTCCTCAATTTGTAGTCGCGGGAGATTATGTAGACTTAATAATGCTTTATAATAATGGTCATAACCACTAAAACTTTCCAAAAATGACGAGCATTACTTCATGAATATATTGTTTTCTACCAACTGGTGGGTGTTTTCCTCGTTCTAAGCTATGATTGGTGCATTTTGTTTCACAACTTGTTTGTTTGACTTTTCTAACACTTCGATTCGTGCTTACTTGTCCTTCAGCGTTAGAATGAGCTCTAAATTAGCTATATCCAAAGAATATATTTAAGAAGAGAATTGTGATATACGGTCTAACCCACCAAAACAAACCTTTTCGAACGATTGCGAGAAAAGAAGAGAATAAACTCAAATTATAGTTAAATTAGAAAATAATAATATTTAAAGATATAACTAATTAACTAGTTTATTTATTTTTCACGTGGCAACGTGTTTGAATCGGAAGATCTATCTTTATACATCAAAAACTTAATAGATAAAATCTCCGATTGTGGCTGAAAAATTTGAACGACTTCGCTGATAATCGTTTCCTAAATAAGACCCATCTTATGGTTGGTGTACATACTCACCATATTTACCAAATAAATCAAGAGAATACCATCATTTTGTTGCACCAATAAAATAGTATTACTCAAATTTATTATATCTTCTGGTTTGCAACGAGTAAAAAAAAAAACTTATCAGTTTTTCCTATTTTTGGTTTAGTTTTGCCTAAAATTTGTACTTAATATGATTTAGACCTATATCTATTGTATTTGAGCCTTCTTTAACTTAAATTTTATTTTCAATAGATTTCTAGGTTTAAAAGTTTTCTGAGACATAAGTTTGTTTTCTATCTTTGGAAAGTTTCTATGAACCCAATCTAAGTATGCCCTCTTCTTCTTCTTCTTCTTCTTCTTTACTCTAAGCTAAGATACATTATTGGAGTGTAAAAAATCAGATCCATAATATAGAAAGTTTTGTCACTATAACGCTTTTAAATATAGTAGGATGGGATCTAACATTTTCTAATAAGCTATTTCAATCAAACAGAACATGCATGCATGTATGTCCTTTCAAAACCTGCATTTGGTACAGTAAATATTATTGCCATAAAGAATTTGTATGTGGCCGTACCGTTTTCAAAAAATCAATGAATTTTCGAAAACATATACCAATTAAAATTAAAATTCTATTTCAAATTTATAAAAAAAACAAAAAATTAATAGTTTAAGAAAACCATTGCATTTAAACCACTCCAGAAACGTGTTTTTATTAATCCATTTATTTTTAATTTACGACTTCATGAACCCTGGAACTGATTATTAAAGAATTTCCTCTATTATAATTGTCGTTGCATAATTACACTCATCTAGTCTATTAAAAGGGAAGGCACCCTTGAAAAATCGACTAATGAAAGTTATTTGCAACTTCATTAATGGTATTTTGGTAATTTATATTTTGTCTTACATCTATATATATATATATCGTTTGTTAGAAATCATATCACGTATTACATATACCCGATTTATTCTTTCTCTTCCCTTTAATTATTCTAACCATATTTCATACTATATTACATACATTTATATTGTATTATATACCATATATTACACGATTTCAATCTATAGATTTCCAACATTATAATTTTTTGGTTGTCATTTTTTGGTATATGCATCATATATCGATTTTATAAACTCATATTACTCTAACCATGATATGATGCTATATTTCATATATTAATATTTTCATATAGTTGTACTACACCTTATATTTCAAAGACTATATTTTATAAACTCATATTACTCTAACCATGATATGATGCTATATTTCATATAGTTGTACTACACCTTATATTTCAAAGACTGCTTTATAAACTCATACTACATTTTATATTACATATATTAAGATTTTGTTATAGTTGAAGATATTTGTTAATGTATTATATAATATATAACTAGTTTGTTGATATCTTTACGTCGCAACATGTTTCTATATATTGGAAGATCTATCTTCATACATCAAAACTTTAGTAGATAAGATACCCAACTGTGACTAGACAATTTTACTGATAATAATTTCCTGAATAAGATCCATATCGTATGGTTTGTGTACGTATTTATCAACAATACCAAATAATTTGAGGAAATATCATCATTTCGTTGCATCTATAAAATAGTATTATTTTAATATAAACTTATATAATAAATAGAGAAAATAGTTAAATATATAAAAAACATACATATTCATCTTTCCGAGAATTAAATTGAAGGACCTTGAGTTGTAGGTATACATCATTTACCTCCATTTCGGTTGCTATGACGGTTACCCGAGTTAGTCTTGGAAATAGCCTTATTATTGTTTACATATGCATGGACATTGGGTGTAGTGACTAACAAAAGTGGAATTTCTTTTTAGAAACTAACAAACGTAGAGTTATTTAGTCTAGTGTATCAATATCTACTGCCAAATGTTGTAGAGGTGTCAAATGTATTGCTACCTAAATAATTATGTTGGTGAAACACCTTAGTCTACTAGTTGTTTTAAAGATTTTTACACCCAGGTCTGGGGTTCGAATCCCTGACTATGCAATTTCTTGCAGATTACACGAAATCTTGGTTTAAAATCCTGGAGAAAGCGATTTATTAATGCAGAGTGCATAAGAAAAACATACAAAAGATATTCAACATGGTGCAAGTAAATCTGGTCAGGAGATCTTCATAAAACAGCTCGGATGATGCAGTTAAACGTAGATACTCAGTATTGTCGGTTATGGAATCGTATATGTATCATAATTTTAATATCATAATAAATCAGTGTTATAAAAAACTTATGTTGTACAATATTCTATTTTTTTTAAATTGCCAACTAACTCAGACAATGCCTTTAAGTCTACCTAAAATTTTCGATTCATAATTCATACATATGATAACTTAGTCAACTAATTTCTCCACTAAAGAAATTCTATAAATACCTATCTCCAACCTTCTCAAAGAATATAACACACTACTACTTCCTGAGCTTTTCTTTTTGACTTTTCCCAGTACACAAACAAATGGATCCAAGAATTTCTCTTACAGTCTTCCTTTTCCTGAACCTCCTCTTCTTCACTTACACTTCTGCTCATGTCATTTGTCCTAGAGATACCCTGCAGATCGATGCTTGTGCTAATGTTCTCAATGTAGTTTCCCTAACGTTGGGAAATCCACAGCCATATTGCTGCCCGCTCATTCATGGCTTGGTTGACCTTGAGGCTGCAGCCTGTCTCTGTACAGCACTCAAGGCTAAACTTCTTGGCCTCAACGTTGACCTCACCATCTTTCTCAACGTGATCCTCAGTGGTTNACCCTGCAGATCGATGCTTGTGCTAATGTTCTCAATGTAGTTTCCCTAACGTTGGGAAATCCACAGCCATATTGCTGCCCGCTCATTCATGGCTTGGTTGACCTTGAGGCTGCAGCCTGTCTCTGTACAGCACTCAAGGCTAAACTTCTTGGCCTCAACGTTGACCTCACCATCTTTCTCAACGTGATCCTCAGTGGTTGTGGCCGAACACCTCTACCATCTTACCATTGCGTCTAAGTTGAACACTTATGATATATAAAGACATACCTAAAAGACAAACAGATTCGTATGGTTTCAAACGCTTGAACTTATTTCCTTCTTTCTTGTTTCTTATAATCAGTGATTGCTTTTGTGTTTGTAATTTTCTTGGATTGAATAAAATGATGAACGTCAGGTTCTCATGCAACAAGGGTTTGTGTGTGTAATCAGCAATTTCGTTCCCCTTTTGCTCCTTATCCTCTTTATCTTCGTTGTAAACGTTTTTTTTTTTAACTAATAAAAGTATCGATCGGTGTTTTTGTCTATATTAGGCTTATATTTGTATAAACAACTAGGTCAACGGATAACAAGAAATCTCTGAAAAAATTATACTTTAGTTATACAATAGTAACATTAACTAATACCAAGTACTTAAATGAGCTTAAAATAATTAGGCGCTAATCCGATTGAATGTTCTCCCAACCAAGACTGTTGTTCAAGAAAATGCATAAAAATGTACATAATTCTTTTCATGACAGACCCACGTTTTCTTTCCAGATGCGATAGTAGTATATATTTCTAAAAGAAAAAATATCATATAACTGCCATTTTTAAGGAGATAGCAAATTCTTCGAAAATGTAAATATTATGTTGCATGATGTATTTAGAATCATGTACACAAAATACTAAATAAATTAATATGGTTAAAAATTATTTATAAGATTTCAAAATAAAGTGACGACTCGATATTCCTAAGTTTAGAATAATATAATTACATGTATATATATATATATATACATGTAACTATATATTTGTTTATATTAATGAACCGTGCTTGTATTTCTTTTTATAAAAAGTATCATATATAGTATATNTACACAAAATACTAAATAAATTAATATGGTTAAAAATTATTTATAAGATTTCAAAATAAAGTGACGACTCGATATTCCTAAGTTTAGAATAATATAATTACATGTATATATATATATATATACATGTAACTATATATTTGTTTATATTAATGAACCGTGCTTGTATTTCTTTTTATAAAAAGTATCATATATAGTATATATATATATATTACTTATTCATTTATTGTATATATCGTATATATATACTCGATATAAATTAGTTTATAACAATATATTTATATATATATATATATTATTAATTAATCCTGCTTATATTTCTACTTATAAAAAGTATGATATATTGTATATTTATCCTCATATAATTATACAGTAGAGTATTTATATTGATACTTATTAGTTATTCTTTTCTTTTATTTACGGCAAATAAAATTTATTTGTGAATTAATAAGTATAGTTATCTAAAATATAAAATAAATGGATACAGTTTATGTATTTTATATTAAATAAAGTGAACAGAGAACTTGGTGGTTATCTCTATTAGTGCTCATGTCTCATTGTAATCCACCCAATAAACTTTTTGATAGAAAAAGAACTACCTAGCAAGATAGCAGAATTCGCGTGAGGGAAATAAAAAAAAGGAGAGGAAAGAAATCAGTTGTATGACTGTCTATTTGATCAAAAACTTAAGCAAGTAAGAATTCATTTTTCATTTAATCAATACTCCTTCAACGAAAATGCACCACTTAATGTTAAAAGAGGTTAGGATGGTGAAATAGGATATATCTTACATGTTGTAGGCTAAAGATGGCTACATACCTTGAATATATGGAAGTACCTTGTACGGTTGGTGATCTTGGATGTGGGTTGCAACTTGTAATTGTAAGGCGCAGTTCGAGAGTATATGTGTGTTCCCATGTTTTCAACCTCTTCATTTCACTTTTATTCAACCTCTTCATTTCACTTTTATTGATGTTTTGCTCTTGGACCAAAAACATTTTACGGAAGTGGTGATAAATAGAGTGAGTTTTACCGGTTTCTAACATTCTTATTCTTTTATCGAGTCTAGGTGGGGTTTACAGGTTATTCGTCTTTTATTGAATAAAATCAGCTTTAGATCGATTATGAATATAAAATTTTGAATTGAGTGCAATTGGAAATTAAATGAGTGGAACATTGCAGATACATAAGAACTTTTGGCAATGGATAGTTGACGTCGCATTATGTGATTGAGCTACAAGTTTTTCATAAGTTAGAGAAATAAATTATCTTCAAAAACAAATATCATATTACTGCCATTTCGAGGAGATAACAAATTCTTCGAAAATGTAAATAGTATGTTGCATGATGTATGTAGAATCATGTAAGCAAAAATCCTAAATAAATTGGTTTTATTAAACCTATTTATAATATTTCAAAATAAAGTGACTCGGTATTACTTAGTTTAATATATATATATATATATATAATATATATAGATATATATGTATTGATTTTATTAAAGAATCATGCTTATATTTCTATTTATCAAAAGTATCATATATAGTATATATATATTAAGTATCATATATATACTAAATATAACTTAGTTTAAAATAATATATATATATATAATTTTTTTCTTATTTAATCATGCATATATTTCAATTTATAAAAAGGATGATATATAGTATATTTATATATATCAAGTGAATAATATGATTTATGATATATAATTATATAGTAGAGTACTTATATTGACCCTTAAGAGTTTGTTAGTATTTCGCTTCTTTTATTTACTACAAATAAAATTTATTTGTGAGCTACTAAGTTTAATTATCTAAAATACAAAATAAATGGATACAGTTTATGTATTTTATATTAAATAAAGTAAACAGAGAACTTGGTGGTTATTTCTATTAGTGCTCATGTCTCATTGTAATCTATCAATAAACGTTTTGATAGAAAAATAACTAACTGGCAAGATAGTAGAATTTGCCGGAGGGAAATAAACAAAAGGAGAGGAAAGAAACCAGTTGTAAGGCTGTCTATTTGATCAAAAACTTAAGCAAGTAAGAATCCATGTGTCATTTAATCTATACTAGCTCCTTCACTGAAAATGCACTACTTAATGTTCAAAGAGGTTAGGATGGTGAATTAGGATAACTCTTATATGTTGTGGGCTGAAGATGGTTACATGCCTTGAATATGTGTACCTTGTAAGGTTCGTGCTCTTGGATGTGGGTTGCAACTGGTAATTGTAAGGCGCAGTTCGATATTATATGAGTGTTCCCATGTTTTCAACCTCTTTCTTTTACTTTTATTGATGTTTTGATTTTGGACAACAATTTTTTTTATGGAAGTTTTGATAAATTGTGTTTTAACCGGTTTCTGACATTCTTATTCTTTTATCGAGTCTAGGTGGGTTTCTACGGATTTTTGGTCATTTATTGAGTCTTACCAGGTTTAGATCGACTATTAATTGAGTGTAATTGGCAGTTAAATGAGAAGAACATTGCAAATACATCAGAAATTTTGGCAATGGATAGAAGACGTAGCATTATGTGATTGAACTAAACGTTTTTAATATGTTAGAGAAATAATATATCATTTTAGTTCCACTAGTTTCAAGGAAGATAAAATGGCTATATTTAATGTTAAGCGAGTTTTACAAAAAAATTTATATCTACTGGTTTGATAAGAGAAAAATGAAACTATCAAGTTTTCTTATCATTTTTGTTTTTTTTTTTTTGTTTCAGATTAGTTTTGCCTTAAATTTGAACCTAACATGATTTAGACCTATAGCTACTGTGATCCTTCTTTAGGTTAATATTTATTTTCAATAGACTTTAGGTTTAAAAGGTTTTTGAGAGATAATTTTGTATCCTATCTTTGGAAAACTTTTATAAACCCAAGCTTTTGTTTATTAATCTAAGTATGATCCTTCGTCTTCTTTTTTACTCTGACAAACATTATAGGAGTATAATAAATAAATTAGATCCGTAATATAGTCGTTGAAATGCTTTTTCTTATTCATAGTGGGATGAGATCTAACAGTTTTTAACAAAGTATATCAATCATACTCAACATGCATGCTGCATGCATGTGCTTCAAAAACGTGAATTTAGTTTAGTTGATATTGTTTCCTTAAAGAATTTGTAAGTGGACGTACGGGTATTCAAAAAACACTGTATTTTTTAAAACGTAGTCCAATTTAAATTCTTTTTTAAGATTAATTTTATTTCAAATTTATAAAAACCAACTAAAAGTTTAGGACAATCCTTGAATTTAAAAGACTCCAAGAACTCAAAGATCTTTTATATTAACCCATTTCTTTTTAATCTATGACTTCATAAACCCTATAACATGTACGACTTTGTAAACCCTAGAACTGATTATTAAAGAATGTTTTGTTTTTGAACTGTCGTTGCATTATTACTCTCATTGAATGTTACTAATATAATATTCACAACATAAATAATTCTTATAATTAGTCCATCAATACAGAAATAATAATGCNCACAACTTTCTTGTTTGACTTTTCTAACACATCGCTTCGTGCTTACTTGTCCTTCAGCACTTGAATGAGTTCTAAATTGGCTATATCCGAAGATGATATGGATGAAGGGAATTTGATATACGGGTTAACCCACCAAAACAATCGTTTTTCGAAACTCTTTCCAAAAAATAAAATAAACTAAAATTATAGTTATAATAGATAATAAATATATTTAAATAAGTAACTCAATAACTAGTTTGTTGATATCTTTCCGTGGCAATATGTTTCTATATATTGGAAGATCTATCTTCGTACATCAAAACTTTAGTAGAAAAGATACCCAATTGTGACTAGACAATTTTAACGATTTTACTGATAATAATTTCCTGAATAAGACCCATATCGTATGGTATGTGTACATATTTATCATCAATATCAAATAATTTGAGGGAATATCATCATTTTGTTGCATCTATAAAATAGTATAATTTTAATATAAACTTATATAATAAATAGAGAAAAATAGTTAAATATATAAAAAACTTACAAATTCATCTTTCCGAGAATTAAATTGAAGGACTTTGAGTTGTAGGTATACATCATTTACCTCCATTGCGGTTGCTATGACGGTTACCCGTGTTAGTCTTGGAAATACCCTTATTATTGTTTACATATGCATGGACATTGGG